CGTACTTCCAAAATTCTCAGCTAAGGATTGGATTTTGCTTTGAGAACTCACCACAATCGACACAACGATTGGACAAAGTAAAAAATTATAGCCAAGTTTTGCAATACAGTATTGATACCATGGACCACGGAACTACAGTTCTGGTTGAAAAATAATGCAATAACTGAATTATTGCTCCCAAAGTAGAAATCGCGTCAAACTCGTTTTTTCGCAAAAAAAAATGTGGTAAAAGTATCGCAAAATGAACGTCAGTGTCAAAAACTAATTCGCACGTCACAACGCACATTTTGGGGACAATGAACAGAAAGTTTGCAAGACTTTGCACAGTCGGTCCACCCACCTCCTCGTACGGCAGCCACAGCTCCAGTCTGCGCAGGTGCCGCAAGCCGACCACGCAGCCCACGTTCATGAGGCTAGTGGCCAGGCTGCGGAGCTGGACACACTGCGACACGCTCTCCAGCAGCTGGGGCGGCAGGATATCGTGCCCGCCAAGGCCGTGCCCGTCGGGCATGTCGAGGTGGCGCAGCCTGGCGGCACTGCCACGAACCAAGTCCACCATCAGCTGGGGGGGCGCCTTACCATCTAAGCGCAGGGACCTGTAGGCGGAAAAGAAAAACAGAGCTAGACAACGAAAAGCTGCAGGTTTTATGTTCCTTTTGTTCCTCACTTGGAGACGAGTGAAAGGGATTATTCAGTAAATTATTCCAAGATTCATCATTTTAAACCATAACTTATGTGGGTTTTCTTTCCTTGAAATAAAACGTTGTCAGAACTTTATTTTTGTTTCCAACTGGAAACAATTTTGTGCAGAATTAACTAGGGGTACGCGCCGTTTAGTTTGGGCGCGTAGTAGGCGGGCGATACGTCTGAACTCATTCTGATGGCGAAGAATATGTGCAGAATAAGGCCAATACAGTGTCTTCCGTAACGAAAGGGCCGGAATTTATGTCATTTTCGTGACTATCTTACTGAAAACTGCAGGAAACAATGGGGAACTCAACGTTGAAATTTTGGTCACAAATTGGTAAATTTCGGGTAAAGTAAAGGTCTGGGATGAAATTGGAAGTCATTTTCATGATCAGCACACCAAACACCGCAGGAAACTATGTAAAACTCAACTTAAGAATTTTGGTCCGAAATTGGTAAATATTTGGAAAAGTAAAGGTCTGGGATGAACTCGGAAGTCATTTTCGTGATCAGCACACCAAAAACTGCAGGAAACTATGTAAAACTCGACTTAAAAATTTTGGTCCGAAATTGGTCAATTTTGGAAAAAGTAAAGGTCTGGGATGAAATTGGAAGTCAGTTTCGTGATCAGCACACCAAAAACTGCAGGAAACTATGTAAAACTCGACTTAAAAATTTTGGTCCGAAATTGGTAAATATTTGGAAAAAGTAAAGGTCTGGGGTGAAAATAAAAGTCATTTTTGTGATGAGCACAGCAGATACTGCAAGAAGCAATGACTCACTGAGGAAATTTTGGTCCAAAATCATGTAATTCTAGTTGAAAGTATGGGTCTGCAGTTGTTAACATGAACGCAATTTCTAAAAGTATTTCCTGTTCATGGTGTCGTAACATGAACACTGACACTGTTACTCAGTCGAGTAACATTCAACAGTCAGCATTGAATTGCTTAGTACGATTCACAAATGCTTCAATTACCATTCGATATCTCCTTGTTATTGAACTTGTGAATACGCAATGTTATTTGTAATACCTACACTGATAAAAATTTTGTCGTAACTTAGCGACACATTTATTGCTAACTTTTTTAGCGACAAGATTTGTTGTGGAACGAATAGCTTGTTAAACTGTAGTCGTATTGGCACTAAGGGATAATTTCACAACGACTAACTTGTAATAATGCACCAACAATAACACATCAACGACAAGTATTGGAAGTCCAAAAGAAATTTTGTAATGTCTGCGACAATATTCATAGAGTACTTTTGTCGCTAAATTTATTGTGCATGGTTTTTATTTAACAATAGTAATTTTTCTATGACTTAGAAGAACAAAATAGATGATTATTCATAATATGCTTTAATTGAGCAGATAATTGCAAAAGATGTTGTTTCCACACTAATTGTATGGTAAAGAGTGATAACAAGAATTTTGTTCTTCAACGACAAAATGTCGCTTACTAGACTCAACGACATTTGTTTCGCTTTGGTTCATGATGAAATTCTGTTTTGGAACGACTAAATTTTCACTCATCTGATTGTTTCTGTACAACCATTTTTTAACAGTGTATAAAGCCTTTTATCTACCTTTTATCTTAAACTAGTGGATGAAACTAACTATATTGATTTATCTCAATTAATTAAAATGAGATACATTTACAGGCAGGCTGATTGCAACTACTTTACGGAGAAGACCTTCTGTCAGATCCAATGAATCGTTTCATAGAATCCATTGTCGAGCCCACTTATTGCTAAACGCAAGTTAATCTTATTCATAATGATAGTCATGATGTCATATTTAATTTCTGAAACAGTATAGCATGAAGTATTTACCTAACATTCTGAGTAAATTAAAAACTCAAACCATGACCGAAACAAATTACCTAGCTAACAACTAAAAAGTATAATGTCTGAGAATAAAAATGGAAATACACTCTAAAGCTTACAAAGACCAAATCATTCTTGCAATTATCAAACACACTCCACTGACTAAAACATTTCCCCTGTAGCCGGGGAGGGGAGGGGGCGGGCGGACGGACGAAATGCGCAATAATTGTCACTTTCATTTTCCGTATTTCACTGTGTTGACACTCCGGAGGGGTTCCAATCATTCTAGAATATCGAAAAACTATGACCGAAGTCACTTCTAAGCCCTTCTGCTCTCAATTTTGTTTTATTTACCAATGTTATGCCAGTTCCGTATTTGAGAGCCGCGGCCGCAATTATGAAAAATTGATAAATGCTGCCAACCTAACCACGCTAAGAACCTAATTCAAAAAGATGTTTTAAAAATTTCAAACTGTAGGAATCGTGAATATAAGATAAACTCCCCCTGTGGGAGCTTTAGGAAATATACGGTGCAAAATTTGGGAACTATTAGTGTTGTAGTTGCTGAGAAACGTGAGTGAGTTACAGACAGACAGACGCACGACCAGTCATTTTTTGGAGCGCCCAAACACGGCAAGGGCTCGCTATCGCTCGCCAAATATATTGTCGAAATTGTAACCAACCAGAAACAAATCTGTGACTAGATGGTTTCAAAATTGTCGACAGATTTTTGGCAGAGTACACTCTTAATGTCTTACGGTGACAGGCTGCACGCTGCACCAACATATTATGATGGAGATTTTCTCCATAATACAAACGGAACTCGTCAAAATATCTATAAGGTACAGTGAATATTCTTAAAAGAATATTCGCGCATAAGAGTAAGAATATTCTTAATAGTATGTTATGAAGTCAGCTACACCACCATAATATGGTACATTTTCACCATAATATGGAGAACCTTCACTTTGTAGAACATTTAGAGTGTACAGTGACGCTGTACTTTTTCCCCGTCGTAACTCTGCCAACCTGAGCGCGGGCAGTAGGTCCTCCTTGACTCGGAACTCCCCGGCGTAGGACGGACGGTGCATTAACAGGTCCAGCGATTGCAGGCATCGCAGCTCCACCAGTATTTCCAGCAGGGAGCGAGAGTCGTCGCCGTCTGCCTCGGCCCAGGCGGCCACCTTGTCGCTCTGGTCTTCCTCCAGCGCCCAGTCACACTCCTCTGAAGCCACTGCTTCTGAACGAAATATGTGAACCTCCTCTTTCCTGTCGGAAGGCGTCTCCAGTCTGAGGCTGGTCAGGTGCTCCCTATTGCGCCAGAGCAGGCCGTGGAACACAGCCCAGGCCGGGTTAGCCATGTGGGACACGAGGCTCATGTAGATCTCGCGTATGGCCGCACGGCTGCGACGCACAGCCGACAGGGCCATGCCTTGCGGTACGTTGATGTGCGGCGGCCCGCGGTAGTTCCAAGACCAGCTGGGAGGAAAAAACAAATGAAAAAACCTTCTCAATAATCGCGGTACAGATAAATTGCTGAAAAAGAAGATTTAGCGAATGTGTATACCGTTCGCAAAGTACCGGCATAAGGCACGAAATAGCCTCATAGCGACAGGGGTCTCCCGCTTGGGGTACTCGTTGCACACTTGCACTCACTTCACATATCCACTCAAAGCAATCACGCTCAAACTCGTTAATGAGATTTTCTTTAATAACGTACTGACATTAATGGATACATTTACATATTTATTTAAGAAAATAAAGCATCAATTTTGACATGAAAAATCTGTTAAGCTTCTTCACCAATTCCAAGGAATGCGCACAAACGTAAATGAAAATAAAATGTCAACTGAAGGGTAAGAACGATTCTCCCACTCAGTTCAACGAACAGACACACAACTAATGTCCATTCTCATTCTCTCAAAATCACTGGAAACCCATCAAAATCGGAAACCTCAGACCTCAACAAATAGCCCCCACCCCTCATACCATTCACCCGTCCTCCCTCTACTCTCCCTATCCAACTCTGCCACTCACGGAACGCCCACTCATGCCAATTCACCCGAACTCCTTCTCCTTTCAGTCACACTCAGCAGGACCAGATCAAATCCATGAAATTCGTCACTGTGACACCAAACGTGGAGAACTCCACACTTGAAACGCGGAGGTGTGGAATTTTCAGTCTCCACACGTGGAAGTGCAGAGTTTGCAGACCGTGGTTTGCAGTCTCCACACTTCAGGTGTGAAGTTGTCCATGTTTGCACCTTGCAAAGAGGTAGGGGTTATGTGAGCTACTCTGGACTTGAAGTGCGGAGACTGCAAACTCGGCACTACCACTTGTGGAGACCGACTCCACACGAGGAAGCGTGGAGTAGTCCACGTTTGGATTCATGGTGGTTCCGTTGATAGATTCACATCATTCACTAAAAACAAGTACATTCAAGTTCAGTCTCATCACTGAAAATCTACCGGCGTGACTTCGTGCCGCTGTAGGGGCGTGAATAAAGTGTCACGCCAAAACACGGCATGACAGAAAAGTCACGCCAAAAATCGGCGTGACTCAAATATTCACGCCAATTTTTGGTGTGAATTTCTTGTCATGCCGCTTTTTGGCATGACTTTTCTCATAAAACGCGTTGTCATTCAGGCTAAACAAGGTAGGTTTACGCCAGACCACGTCTTGTCGTAACAGGCTTCGCGATGTCTCGCTGCCTGTTTCTCCAATCCGCGCCTGGCGTACCTACCTTGGCCTGCGGCGCTAGCCTGCCTTCGGCAGGCAATGGCTTCTCCATCGTCGATTTTCCTTACTTGTTCCATGCTGGGACCCCCCTTCATTCTAGATGGAGTTGCTTCACCTGCAGATGACGCGATTTGACCCTTGTAGCTTTTTCACTTGTCCTGGCTGGGGGGCTCCGCCCCCCAGACCCCCCTTTCTTCAAGACAGAGGCGATTTGCCTACAAAAAACTCGATTTTTCGCCGTTTTTTAAGTGTTTTTCGGCTTTAAAAACCAAACCAGTTGAGCTAGGATGGTGAAATTTCGCGTGGGCCGAGCCAAGGACATACCTAATAAGCCTGCAAAATCTCAGCCAGATCGGCCGAGCCGTTCAGGAGGAGTAGTGTACACACACAGACACACAGATAGATAGACAGACAGACAGACAGACAGACAGACAGACAGACAGAAAAAATTTTTCAACCCCACTGGAGTACAAGGACATACCTAATAAGCCTGCAAAATCTCAGCCAGATCGGCCGAGCCGTTCAGGAGGAGTAGTGTACACACACAGACACACAGATAGATAGACAGACAGACAGACAGACAGACAGACAGAAAAAATTTTTCAACCCCACTGGAGTAACAGGCTTCGCTATCGCTCAGCCAATAAGGGCGTGACTCACATGTCACCCCGTTTACCGGCGTGAATTTCGTGTCACGCCAATTTTTGGCGTGACATTTTGTCACGCCATAATTTGGCCATGTGTCCCACCATTACGTTTTCAGTGATATTCAGGGAGTAGGAGACTCCTCGCTTAGTCGCCTTCCCGGAAGAAAACGATTCGATTTTCCCACACTCTCAGCACGTTACTGACTTTTTACTCATTAATTACGTATTCGTTTAAGCAACAATAATACTTAGTATTTTCTAAGTAGGTATGGCCAATTTCCTTTGTAAAATTATGCTCAAAACCAAATTGTTAGTACAGTACTTAAAATTTCCTATGTAGTTCTTTAAAAAAGAAAAGGTATCTATTATGGTTGCACAAATTACTTGCATAAGTAAGTACTGACAATATGATCAACAAGTCAGAAACGTGCTGAGATTGCAGAGGGTTGGTAACTGGGCAGCTGCCACCATTCAACGACTATTCTAAGGCCTTGCTCAGCTGCCAACAACCGCGTAGAAAAGTTTGAAAAGTAGAAATTTCCGTGCGGAAAGGTCAAGAGAAGAGAACACTCTCAGCCGTTTACTGACTATTTCTCATTAGCAGACGTATTTCTGCAAGCAACCATAATACTTAGTATTAAGTTCTTAAATACTTAAAAATGTCTTTGTAATTTACAAAGAAAACTGTAATATCAGTACAGTAATTAGTAATTGCCAAGTAAAACTGACAAAAAATACTAAGTATTATGGTTGCTTACAGAAATGCGTCTGCTAATGAGAAATAGTCAGTAAACGGCTGAAAGTGAAGGAAAGGAAGAAGAAATAGTGAAACTGACCCGAGGTAGCGCAAGACGGGGGCGTGCAGCACGATGCGCGCCTTGTCCATGGCGGCCTTTTCGCTCTCGGCGAGCCCGGCGTCTCGCCAGTGCCAGTCCAGCATGCCGAACTCGACGCGCACGCCGCGCCAGGCCTGCGGGTCACGTGACAGGGCGTGCCAGCGCTTGCACACCAGTGCCACGCCGTCAAGCAGCGTCTCGCCGTCCTGGAGCCACGAGAACACCTCCAGCAGCAGCTCGTTGGGCAGGCTGTCCATGGCCGGCAGTTAACAACCTGAGAACATATTTCCCAAAACAAAACCTTGTGTATTTGTAGAAATTCGTAAAAAGTTTCACACCGAGCACGCGATCTTTTGCGAACGAATTTGTAAGGGGAATCGCACAAGACTGGAATCGAAGTTGCGATACTTTCAACACAAAAACTTGTGATATGAATAATGTGATGCCCACGAATCATTGCTCCTTAAATGCAATGACTTTTGTATCACAAAACACAGTCAAACACAGTCAAAACACCATCCACTGTGGCTAAAAGCTACGTAAAGTTGTGTCAATTTTTGACAGGATTCTACTTAGCCCTCTTGTCAATATTCTCCGTAGGCTCTTACAGTCTTCTCCGTAGGACCTGGAAGACTGTGATAGGCCTACGGAGAACAATGTAAGGGAAGGTGGGGTACCATGTGACACGGCCACCATGTGACTTTGGCTTTTTCTCCCAAACGGCTTGCTATCCAACAGCGGTAAGAAGATTCAAAAGAAGGTATCATGAAGGAGAATCGACGTGCAAATAGGTCGTGACTCTCCTTCGAAAAGGACGGGAATGGTAGCGATCAGAATTGGAAACAGTCTTAAAATAGCTAATTGGAAACTTTTTCTATTTCCCGCCGCGTCCGCTTTTTACCTTTAAAATACATTTTAAGAACATATGCTCTGCAAGATGTTCTTCTTTGATGTTTTAAGCGCAAAATAAGCTTTGGCTCGATTCTCTACGGCATAAACTTTGAGCGTTATTGCTGTTTCCCCTAAAACTGTTGATCTGGGCACCATGTGACACCGCTGTCATTCGCTATGGGATTCCACGATTCACTCAGTTGAATGTGTTCAGTCTATGACATTTGTACACTAGTAACTAAAACCTTTATAGCTCGGGAACCAAAGATGATAAATTGATAAACTCAACGGAAATAAAAAGCTGGAAGACTTCTTCGTTCATTCTCTGCGTGTAGGTACGCTGAATAGGATTTAAACCCAGACAAAAGGCCACAGTCACATGGTACACTAAGGCTGTCACATAGTGTACTACGTGGGGTACGAAGTGACATTTTGACTTGGCCCATTAACTCGCGATAACTCAGCAACCAAAACAGATAAATTAGAAATCTCAACAGAAATTATAAGGTGAAGAATCATTTCGTTCACATGTCTACTTATGGATGTAATGTGATTGGTATTATTGGGTTGACGGGCATTTAACAAAAACCGTCACATGGTACCCCACCTTCCCTTAAGGTCCTACGGAGAATACTGTATGGTCCTACGGAAAATACTGCAAGAGCCTACGGAGAATATTGATAAGGGGGCTACGGAGAATTACCACAAGCTGTTTACAGAATTTTCTGTGCCACAGTGTCGCCTAATTGCAATAAAAATCGAAAAAAAAGCGTTGATAATAAAATCTGCAAGACAAATAAATTTTAGCGATCATCATTGCAAAGTTTTGCGGCACAGCAGCGCATCACACTCTCAAAAGCCTACGAAGCATTTGCTACATAGCTAGGCAGAAAATGAAGGCATTGTAGAATTGCTTCGTATCATGAAGAAATGCTTCGTTTAACGAAGGATTTTGCTTCATAATACGAAGCATTTCTTCGTAGATTTTACAATGCCCTCATTTTCTTCGTATTACGAAGCGATTCTTCGCTGAGTTTTTACTGTGCACAAATTTAAGCAATTATCATCACAGTAAAGTGCGTTGAAATTTGTATTGCGCTGGGTGCGGTCTGTATCGCTACTGAGATACCAGTGACATCAGTGCGATATTAGTGCAGATTTTTATGGACACAAATGCGAAACATAGAGTGAGGTCAAGTGCAAAAGTTGTACAAACGAATTCAGTGCGTAGAAATGAACTGATCCAAACGCACTTTGGATACGAAGAATGGAGGGAAGACCCTTGAATATTCTGACGGAAGTCCCTATCACTTACTACAAACAGAGCGAATTTCATTCAGGCAGGCCAAATTCCGTTTCTTGAATAAATGAATTGTTGAAGTTCGAAGGAAACAGTGAGATTCATGAATGATTACCACGACTTTCATGAAAGATAAGTCAAGAAAGGGCAGAGCGAATGAGAATCGAACTCATCCACGTGACGACTTTCACAGTTAAAATGGGTTCAGATGAGTAATACTTATCAGCACGAAAGCAAGAAGACAGTAGAAAGGCCGTACAATGAAGGCTATTATGCTGGAATTCAAAGCGAGCGCTGTAGCTTATAAGCTATTGAGGCGATTTCAACTTACTGTTCAATGTGGACAAACTATCACAAACAAAGCAAATTGACTTTCATATTGCGTTAGAGACCAGTCTTATGTTGATAATTTACTGCAAGGCCCCAGGGACCTAAACGGCAGAGACATCCCCGGGCAATTCCCTACACTGTAAAAAATTCCATACTTTTGTACGGAAATGGTACAGAAAAATAAAGAACGGAGAAAAGTACGGAACGTTCCGCACTTGCTCCATATGAACCCATGTAAGTGGGTACGGAAAAAAAGTACGGACGTTCCAGGCAAATTATTGACCAGACATGTTCCGTACTTTTTTCTCGCAGTGTAACGCCTTATCGCAGCGTTCACACACCTGTGGCCTTAAATGTAGAAGAATTTAGAGCCGAATGCGTCACGCAGTTTCTGAACGTTCTTGGGGGACGTCGTTAAATTACGTTACGACTTAAGGGATGTGTGGGATACACCAATCCTGCGTAACCCCGCGGTTCATCGAAGAAGGGGGGGATACCGCGACGATACGCTTAATACACTAAGTAAGAGAGCACAATTTTGAAGTGCAACTAGAAAATAGGGGTGAAAATGTTGATGACCGGAGAAATTTGCCTTGACGTTACGCCGTGAGAGGATCTATTTTAGCGTAAGGTCGCATTAACTTGGGATGGGGGGGGGTCTGAAGTTGTGTAAAAAAAAAAGTGCGTATTAAGTGTTACGCACCAATGACGGAGCGTAGAGGCGCACTGACCCGAGGACCTTCTGTGGAACTTACCGATTTGATTGAACAGGACGAGAGCTGTCCGTAGACGTATCTGGCGGCCAAGGTGGTGGAGCAGTGGTGACGACACGGAGTGCGATCTCAGTTGAGGAGAGAAGGACTGGAAGAAATCGGCCACTCGGGTCGGAACCGTCAGATAGGAGCTGGTACGATAGACGAAGCCAGACCGGGACTGTGCAGAAAGAGCACACTACTCTGCAAACTGAAGTGTGTACATAGTACACTCTTCTTAGAGCATACCTACTAGTACACTCTTATTTAAAGCATACTTGCTAGGCACACGCTAAAAAAGAGTGTGCCTGGCAAGTACACGCGAAATAAGTGTGTACCTTCCATGTACACGCTAAAATACACTCGATAAGTCCTATCTAAAAGCATGGGCCAGTTTAAGTGTACTTGCCAGGTACACTCTTATTTAGCGTGTACATGCAATGTACACTCTATTTTAGTGTGTGCCTAGCAAGTATGCTGTAAATAAGTGTGTACTTGGAGGCATGCTCTAATAAGAGTGTACTATGTACACACTTCAGTTTGCAGAGTAAACATCACTGTTATTCCACTTGCGAGACAGACCTCTCTGCGCAATTCAAATTTCATTGCACTTTTCTGTGATGATCATTGCAAAACAGATGTGATGAGCTGCTGTATCGCAGAATTTTGCAATGATGATTGCTCAAAATTGTATTGAATGTAAATTTAGTGTTGTCATCGCAGGTTTTTTTTTTTTGCAATAGTTCTGATCTTTAAGGGGGGACCCTGGTGAAACTTTCAAGTAGGCTTCAAAATAATCCCAGAAAGTTGAAACTTTGCTTAATTATTAGGTTCATTATGGTGAGTTCCCAAAACAAAATTCAATCCAAAATGTTGAACGGTCTCTGAGAAAAGTGGCTTTTTAGTGTTTTTCAGAGCGTTGGGGAAAAATCTTCCTGCGTCTTTCATTGGGACGGAAAGTCTTGAAATTTTTTTTGGGTTATCCTAAAGATGTATAGAAGAGATTTTAGTGACGGAATTTTCAAATTCAACTTCTGTCCTGAGATATGAGTTTTCAAATTTTAACATTTAAAAAAGTGATTTTTTTCCCCTTTTTTTCAAACTTTTAGGTGTGTTTAAAAAAAAAGTAGGGCTGATATCAGGATTCCATCACTAAAATTTGTCGATAAGTCATCAATGAATAGAGTCCATTCAAGACGGCTCATGTAGGTGTCAACCAGGAACGCAGAAAGTCTTTCTATGACAAAATTTTCTGTCGACTGAGCAAAGCTGTGAAGTTGAGCGTAGAAGCCAACGACAACTGATCTCAATGTCATTTCCTTCCAAATGATTAAGAAACTACCCACTTAGCTTAAAGGTGTTCAACCTGTTGAATCTGAAACCTTCTATGCACATTTTTAGCTATGAACTTTGAAAATACTATTTTTTGGAATTTTGGCGATCTTTTCACCAGGGCCGCAAAAGGTCTGCATAGGCCTAACAGCGCTGATGATGATGATGATAATGGTCCCCCCTTAAGGCAATGGCAGAAATGGGCGATAAACATTACAGAATTTTGCGATACAAACTTCACTGAATCTGAGGAGCAATGATTCGAGTGAATCACATTTTTGGATATCATCACATGTTTTTGAGTTGACAGTATCGCAACTTGGATATCAGTGCTGAAGTGCTTCTTTCAAGCTGACTTAGTAATGTTGATGGGGCTACTAAACCTTGATAAGATTGATCTCTCACGCTTCAAAACTTACGAAGTATTCTGAGCAAACAAATTAACATTGTTATACGAAAAACTAACTCGTAAATTAGTAAGTATTTTCTTTCTAAGGTTATGTATGCTCTAAATACTTTGTTAAGCTTGGGTCATTCCATGGGGGTTCGACATACTTTTGCAAGTGATCTCTCCGATTTCGATGAAACTTTGCGAGCTTGTTGTCTATGGTCTGAAACCCCCCCAAACCAATTTTGAGCCAAAAATACCGATTTTTGAAAAAGTTATGGCTTGCGTTAGAAATTTTGATTTTCGTTGCAGACCTTTTTTGAAAACGCTGCAGTTTCTTCAAAAATGAAGCTACAGAGCTCATTCTGGGCGCATTTGAAAGGTAATAAATTGGACTTTGGGCCTATTGCAACATTTTGACAAAAATTTTCAAATTTGACAAAAATTGAACAAAGTCAAAATTTTGAACACAATTTTCTCAAAAGTAGTATTTTTGATTTTTTTTCTTTTTTGATATGTTATAGTCCATACTTTAGTCTAGCAACCCTCAAAATTTGGTTGGAAAAAATTCATAAACAAGGGAGAAAAACGGTTTTTAGTCTTGCGATTCGGCAAATTTTCGCTAGTTGGAGTGGTGTGGAGAGGAGCATGATGCATATTTGAGACCGCAGGTTCTCGATCTTGAACTTCTAGTGTCACTCGGAACAGTTATTTGCGGTCCTGAACCTAAAAATTAGATCAATTTTCGTTTTCGAACTTCCCAGGGGCGGATCAAGAGGGGTGACTTTTCAAAAATCAGGATTTTTTGATGTTGCAACGCGATTTCTATGTTTTCTGGGGCGGAGATAACGAAACTTAAACGATGTTGAATACAAGTTAGCTCGAAAGCTGATCTTACGTATCGTCAAAACATAAAAATGTGCGAATAGATGATAAAAAAGCCCCCAAATGTGAACATCTTTGCCCCATTGCAAAAAGTACAGCTAGTGTTGTTACCTACACCCCTGTAAACATAAGAATCAACATGTGACATTCAAACATCTTGCATTCGGAAAAGTCACCCCCATTGACGCACCCCGTTATTAAGATTACCAGGGGCGGATCAGGAGGGGTGACTTTTAAAACTCAGGATTTTTGGATATTGCATATCGTTTCTTATATTTTTAGAAACGGAGGGGAGACAACTTATCTTGAACCATCTTGAATGCAAGTCACCCCCTCTGGCCCACCTCGTTATTGAAATTCCTAGGGGCGAAGCAAGAGGGTCGACTTTTCCAAATTCAGGATGTTTGGATGTCGCATGTCGCTTTTAATGTTTAAACTGTAATTACAGGGGTGAAGGCAGCAACACTACACTCTCATTCCAGGAACATGACATCACGTTGAAACGAACGTGACGTTACGTTCGTTTGAGCATTGTGTTACATTCGTTTGAATGTGAATAAACTATTTTTTTGGCCGTGACATTTAGTCACGTTCGTTTCAACGTGATGTCACGTTCCGGAGTAATGGGCCACCCCAATGGGCCATCCGCCCCTGGTAATCTCAATAACGGGGTGCGTCAATGGGGGTGACTTTTCCGAATGCGAGATGGTTGGATGTCGCATGTTGATTCTTATGTTAACAGGGGTGTAGGTAACAACACTAGCTGTACTTTTTGCAATGGGGCAAAGATGTTCACATTTGGGGGCTTTTTTATCATCTATTCGCACATTTTTATGTTTTGACGATACGTAAGATCAGCTTTCGAGCTAACTTGTATTCAACATCGTTCAAGATTCGTTATCTCCGCCCCAGAAAACATAGAAATCGCGTTGCAACATCAAAAAATCCTGATTTTTGAAAAGTCACCCCTCTTGATCCGCCCCTGGGAAGTTCGAAAACGAAAATTGATCTAATTTTTAGGTTCAGGACCGCAAATAACTGTTCCGAGTGACACTAGAAGTTCAAGATCGAGAACCTGCGGTCTCAAATATGCATCATGCTCCTCTCCACACCACTCCAACTAGCGAAAATTTGCCGAATCGCAAGACTAAAAACCGTTTTTCTCCCTTGTTTATGAATTTTTTCCAACCAAATTTTGAGGGTTGCTAGACTAAAGTATGGACTATAACATATCAAAAAAGAAAAAAAATCAAAAATACTACTTTTGAGAAAATTGTGTTCAAAATTTTGACTTTGTTCAATTTTTGTCAAATTTGAAAATTTTTGTCAAAATGTTGCAATAGGCCCAAAGTCCAATTTATTACCTTTCAAATGCGCCCAGAATGAGCTCTGTAGCTTCATTTTTGAAGAAACTGCAGCGTTTTCAAAAAAGGTCTGCAACGAAAATCAAAATTTCTAACGCAAGCCATAACTTTTTCAAAAATCGGTATTTTTGGCTCAAAATTGGTTTGGGGGGGTTTCAGACCATAGACAACAAGCTCGCAAAGTTTCATCGAAATCGGAGAGATCACTTGCAAAAGTATGTCGAACCCCCATGGAATGACCCAAGCTTAACAAGTATTTAGAGCATACATAACCTTAGAAAGAAAATACTTACTAATTTACGAGTTAGTTTTTCGTATAACAATGTTAATTTGTTTGCTCAGAATACTTCGTAAGTTTTGAAGCGTGAGAGATCAATCTTATCAAGGTTTAGTAGCCCCATCAACATTACTAAGTCAGCTTGAAAGAAGCACTTCAGCACTGATATCCAGTTGCGATACTGTCAACTCAAAAACATGTGATGATATCCAAAAATGTGATTCACTCGAATCATTGCTCCTCAGATTCAGTGAAGTTTGTATCGCAAAATTCTGTAATGTTTATCGCCCATTTCTGCCATTGCCTTAAGGGGGGACCATTATCATCATCATCATCAGCGCTGTTAGGCCTATGCAGACCTTTTGCGGCCCTGGTGAAAAGATCGCCAAAATTCCAAAAATAGTATTTTCAAAGTTCATAGCTAAAAATGTGCATAGAAGGTTTCAGATTCAACAGGTTGAACACCTTTAAGCTAAGTGGTAGTTTCTTAATCATTTGGAAGGAAATGACATTGAGATCAGTTGTCGTTGGCTTCTACGCTCAACTTCACAGCTTTGCTCAGTCGACAGAAAATTTTGTCATAGAAAGACTTTCTGCGTTCCTGGTTGACACCTACATGAGCCGTCTTGAATGGACTCTATTCATTGATGACTTATCGACAAATTTTAGTGATGGAATCCTGATATCAGCCCTACTTTTTTTTTAAACACACCTAAAAGTTTGAAAAAAAGGGAAAAAATCACTTTTTTAAATGTTAAAATTTGAAAACTCATATCTCAGGACAGAAGTTGAATTTGAAAATTCCGTCACTAAATCTCTTCTATACATCTTTAGGATAACCCAAAAAAAAAATTTCAAGACTTTCCGTCCCAATGAAAGACGCAGGAAGATTTTTCCCCAACGCTCTGAAAAACACTAAAAAGCCACTTTTCTCAGAGACCGTTCAACATTTTGGATTGAATTTTGTTTTGGGAACTCACCATAATGAACCTAATAATTAAGCAAAGTTTCAACTTTCTGGGATTATTTTGAAGCCTACTTGAAAGTTTCACCAGGGGCCCCCCTTAAAGATCAGAACTATTGCAAAAAAAAAAAACCTGCGATGACAACACTAAATTTACATTCAATACAATTTTGAGCATCATCATTGCAAAATTCTGCGATACAGCAGCTCATCACATCTGTTTTGCAATGATCATCACAGAAAAGTGCAATGAAATTTGAATTGCGCAGAGAGGTCTGTCTCGCAAGTGGAATAACAGTGATGTTTACTCTGCAAACTGAAGTGTGTACATAGTACACTCTTATTAG